ACCCGAGATGTGTGGGACAAGTGGTGTGAGGAACATGTCAACCATGCCACGGTGATCTTGCAGGTGGGGTGCGGACTCAGGACAGGAGGAGTGCGAGGCACTTCTGGTCAGGATCAACCCAGAAGAGGAAATCCCACCCAGTGCACTAGCACAATCCACATAGCCAGCCGCTTTGTTGATTTGGGTCGGGAAGGCTTTTACCCGATCCTTGGTTGTCCGGGATGATTGAACCGATGGGGGCTGATAGGGGTGCATTTGCACACGGCACGTATAATTGACAAGATATGATAAGCCATGGCTATGCCAACATTGGCACGTCCTGCTAAAGCTGATTCCCACCACAACCAACAAAGCGGGTGGGGCACTTCGCAAAGTGATGAAAGTTTCAGCCAAAATGGCCAAAATTGAAACTCCTGCGCATTTCTCTAAAATCTGCATGTTTACCCAAAGTCTGCTCGCATGGTGTCATGCTGATGTTCAGGCATTCCGTCAGGCCACCATATGCTCACATGGTGCTCTGTCATGCTGACTGGCAAACATGCTGTCACGTGTGCGTGCTGTTTTTTGCTTGACATGCTAGCATGCTGAAGGGTTATCACGCTATATGCAGGCGTCGTGTCATGATGGCATGTTGTATATAGCGTTTTCATGGGACATGTAGACATGCAAACATGTTGTACGTGCCGGCTGTCATGCCAATGTGTTCTCAGGCTGTCGTGCTGTCATGTTGTCATGCTGGCACACTGACACGGGTCATGCTAGCGTGCTGACTCTCAGGCGAGACCCTTGGCATGCTGGGATGCTGAGGTCAGGTCATGGTGGGTTCCGGAGTAGGTTCCATGGTTCTTCCTTGTTGCAGCACTGTCATGCTTGCAAATATGCGGGCGCACAAAATTGCCATGTGGTGATGATTGCACGGCACACTGAAAAGGGCCACGTGTTTCGAAACACCATTGCGCGGCAAAGACACGCCGCTTGTTGGTGAACTTTGGATGTTGCCGTTGTCAAGTAGGCGAATTCACGCCCGACTGCTGGGGACATCTTTTCTTGGGCTTGATTTTTGATTTTTTGTGCCATCCATCCATGGGACAGTCCTACACTACTGATAGGATCTTGTAGGTCTCCATTGGGCACCCTGTGGAAGTGCTAGATATGTTTTCTTCACTGCTGTGCATTTGCTTCCCACCGTGTCCTGAATCTTCAACGCTCATGCTTCCCCATCTGCCACGTGAAGTCACAGGACGCCTGCGTGCTGGGCAGCATTACCGTGCCCATGGTGGTGACCTCAACGATGGCAGCCAATACCAAGGCTGGAGCGGCCGGGCGGGGCGGGGAGTCACTTGGGTATGTTTTTTCGGAGGGTTCCAGGAGGATCATACCAACAGAATTAAGAGAACCTGTTCCTGGTCACTGTTCTTGGAGTGTTCCACATGTTTTTTAGGATTTTCCATCAACTGCGTGACTCTGGAGTTCTTCAGTCTTCTTGGGACATCCAGGCGCACCAAAACCATGAAAAACCTCCGTTCCCAAAGGGACCGAACGCCCGATAGATGCAAGGGAACAAGAATAGACCGGGTTGCAAAGCTGTTTTGAGAGCGTCATCCAAAATGTGTTTTCTGGCCGCTGTGATCTCCGATCTCGAGTGAGGTGATCTATGGTCAAATCGAAAGCAAGGACTGTGTGGGCGTGCTGTTGCGTACTGCTGCGGCTGCTGGCTGTGGCAATGGTTTGTGTTGGTGTTGATTCACTGGTTCTTCAAAACAGTGGGATTCCTCAAAGCACTGGAGGGTTCTTCAAAACGCTAGCCGCTAGCTTTGATGGATGGGGCCCAAAACTGTTTCTTATCCCCACAAAGAAAACAACACAGGAAAACATCGACGCTGGCGGAAGGCCAAGGGCAAGACTGATGTTCTTTTTCATAAAGACAGTCAATTAAACACATCCTGAAGAACCATGATTGGTTTTACATTCCCTGGAATAATCATGGAAGTGCCAAATGATAATTTTCCTGCCTTACAAACAGGTGGTTTTCCACTTCCATGATTATTTCAGGAGTGTACTCCCAGATTTGAACCCTATTGAATCCACATACCCTCTGAGAAGGTGAGCAGGGAGACTCGTTGATGTAGGACGGGAGTTGGAGTTGGGTGGTATAATTTGATACCCCCATGACACCAACCTCGGGGGCTATTCATCGACACTCCCGAGTTTGGGGGGGCACTGGCTGGTTTGTATGAGGACATTCCCACCTTCTTGTTTCTGTCTCTTTCCGGTTTCATGAGGGGTGTTTTTCTAGTCCTTCGATGGTATTTTTCTTCTCCGAAACGAAGACATCCCGGATCCAAGTTCGATGGTGGCCAGGAAGACAAGGAGCAGCGGAAGTTCTTCGACCTAGTCGCAATAACTTTCCAGAAGGCCATTCCTCCACTGGACGGGGACACCTTCTATGCTGCTACGAACCTGATTTTCGAGGAGTACCGCGTGCAAAAATTGTTGCTGTTCACGAACAGCTTTTTGTGTGTGCGTGCGCGTAAAGCGCTTGCGCGCGTGCTTTTCCATGGCTTTGGCGTGAAAAAGATCTTGCTTCAGGAGTACAACAAGTACCCTAACTACATCAGCTTCCTCGTGGATGGCGCTCGATCAGCACAGCTGGGGCCGGTGGTCGATTTGATCGGAGGAAAACGGGAGCCCGCATGGCACGAAGGGCTCCAACGACCATAGCATGGCGCTGACCGACATGGGGTCGGTTTGTTATTTACCCTTTTTGGGGCTCCAACTACCTCCCTTTCGAAGATGGTTGGGATGAGTGTCAGGGGGTTCTACCCTCTTCCTTCTGAGGATATGGTTGGAGCCCTAGGGATATGTCTGCCTCAGGTGATGGGATTCTGTGATTCCACCTCTGTTTTCCTCAGGTGCCTATGGGTCAAGACCGGGAGACAGTTGGTTTTTCCCATACAAAAGGAACAAAATAGACTACAAGGAGTACAAGGCCGGTCCAACTACCAGGATTTCGGGCGGTTTTGACCCACCGCCAGGTGAGCACCATACCTTCGGCAGCTCGTGGAGTACTGCGGGCACCAATGGCCCAAGGGAAGGCTCACCAGAAGGGGTGCCCAGCTTGCAGGCGCGGAAGAAACACGATGGGAGTCATGGAAGGCAGGATGAGTTTCTTCATGGAAGGATGGTGTCAACGGATCTTGAGGGATCTTGACGGGTCTTGACATCAAGGAATTTCCATCATGCACCGCAGATGCACGGGAGTTGAGTGTTGTTTCGAAGTGTCGACTCAGAAAGAAAGCGAAAGGATGACTCACACGAAGGAAAGTGAACTCATTGGTTTTCTACAAGGTGTGAACTTATGGTTTTTTTCTCCTGTATGACACGCACCACCAGATGTGAACGGTTTTCCTGCGTTTGCCAGGTCACTCGGATGGCCCCCCCGCTGTGTTCGCCGGTTCCAGGAGTGGGTGACAGAGCCGTGGACCAAGTCCAAGAAGAAGAAAGATGACTGTGTGAGCTCACAATGCAAGGGGATGCCCGGATCAGATGATGAGTCCCCACAACATGAAATTCTCAAAGGGGTCAATGTCTCTTTTTTTGCTTGAAGACAATAAGAGCTTGCTGGATTTCAGCCAGGAATTCTGGGGTGGATGGTCCGGATGGTTGTTTGGGATGAGTCATCATGCATGTTTTGGTCGAAACCTACCCCTCACCCCTCACCCAGGATCCTTTGGCAGATTAATGGCTCATGTGAAAACAGGGGTCACACACACACACACCATTCATCACGGCTTGAGCATCCGTTGGGATCGTATGTTGGGCATCCTTCCTGTCCTTTGGACCCTCTCTTGTGAGAAGATGGATCGGGGAAGACTGCAGAGAAGAGTCCATCGGCAATTCACTGGCCGGTGGGATGCCCTCCGGATTGGTCACAGTGCCACATCTCAAATCATAGAGCCAATTCCGGAGTTGCGAGCTCTTCGCCCCCTTTCTTTCGGCTTAAGAGTCCAACAGATCTGCCAGATCCTTTTGATGCCCCTCATGGCTTGGAGGAGGCACTTCGTGAGTTCCCCCAAACTGCCGAGGTCGGTGTCCACCCTGACGCGAGATCGATCAAGATAGCCCAACTGGCCCAGCGAACCCAGCTGACTTACATGAATCCATGGACTCACGTGGAGTGAACACCACCGAATGGCTTCCTCCGAGTGATGGGAACCCGCACGGACCTCGTCGACTCGGTGGCATGCGTCGATCCGCCCAAGGACAGAGGTGGACCTCGTCACCTTGGCCACGCAGTGTGGAGAGAAGCTTTTGAAGGAGATCTGCTGAGCTCCTCGGTCCACCCAACTCTTGAAGCTTGAAGCTTGCGGCCGTCGAGCCGTCGAGCTGGACAGGTGGCCGTCGGTGCCAGTCAGCCAGTCTGTTCGTTTGACGCAGGCTGCGCTCCCATGGACTTGGCCTCGGCATCCGCAGTAGTTTCGTGGATGAGAGAAGAGCTCTCGTGCCGGTTCCGGCAACACGACCGCTGGCGAAAACGAGGATGAAGCAGGGGGTTTCCCAAAGCGGCCCTGCTTTGGGATTGGAACACGGGTTTGAGAGGAAGGCAGTTCCAGTTCCAGACATGGGCTACACTCATCTTCCTGACAATCACCAGCAACAGGTGACTTTTTTCTCAGTATATTGCCCAATTAGCCACGAAGGGCGCAGCAGCAAAAACCATCAAAAACATTCAAAAACCTTATGTTTTGACACCTGCAGTTGTAGGGGAGTGTTCTTCGCTAGATATATTGGGACGTTCCACTTCTCCAAAAGTGCGAGCCAGGCCGGTTCAACGTACAAAAGTATCTAACAAGATGTCGACCTGAACATTTGAGACAATCAGATGGGAGCAGAGAAGGTTCCACAATCCAAATGGGCTTGATGAATCAAGAGTGTACCTTAGGGGTGCCTCCCTACACACACACACACACCGTTCATGGTCGAAACAGACGGCCTCCAAGGCACTTCGAGCCATCCAGGCCCGTCAGATCGGTGTTCCCGCTTTGGAGTGCTCTCCACCCTAACACACTCCCAGAAACTGTGGCCAAACAGCGAGGTGTTTTTCTTCTCAAACATGCGGAACAACAAGGGGAGTGCTCTTTCGGCCTTCTTAGTGCGGTTTCTTTCTGTCACTTTCTGGCCTTGGGGCGGTTCTTTTCGGATTCCGACCCCTTGATCCAATTCGGCACCGAAAACGAGGATTGGAGGGTTTCGGGGGCTCCATCGCCGGGAGACGGGCTAAAAGGATCGAAGAGGGCGGAGTGTTCAGTGACCCGAAAAGAGTATCTCAACCTTCACACCTCTCAGAGGGTGGCATTGGATCCGAGATTCATGGAGATCGACATCCCACGAACGCGCCTGAGACCGGGGGGGTTCTCATAGACCAAACGACAGTTTCCTAGCAAGCCGCTGGATGACCTTTAACCTTTTTGGGGGGCTCCCCACTCAAAACGAGATGGAACAGGTGGAAAAAGGTTAACCTTGAAGTGTTTGTCCGCATGTTTTTTGGGGTTCTATAGAATTCAATTTTGCCGGCCAGCCGGGAAAATCTACCATGTGGTTATTGTCTTGACTGTCCCGCGTCGGGAGTCAGATACTTGACCGATCTCAAGACTCAGTCAGACTGAGGGGTATATATATATGCGAACGAACTGCACGGACATGGCTTTTTCCAAGAAACCCTAGGG